GTTAGAGGAAGCCTTCTGCAAGAAAGGTTATGAGGTCGAAAAAGAAAAAACGTACGTAGGTAACAAAAGGAAGTGGAAACCTGATCTCGTTTGTTCTAGAATGGGAAAGACATTAGTTCGTAATAGATGCCCAGATCGTTGGAGATAATCCGAGTACCTCTTACTGGCACAGAGTAAAGATTAACAAATACAAAGCCTTAGACTGTAGAATGGCTATTGGTCGAACAATTAAAGTGTCATTCATGGACATTAACGTATATTCCTGTACTTTGACCAGGAGAGGGATATGGTGTAGAGATTCCATGCGAGGCCTTTCAGGATTGAAACTGACAAAGAAAACGATTAATCACATAACATCAAGTGTTCTGAAGGGATTGAACATGAACTATCACGGTTGGCATAAATTGTTACCCCGTTGAAAATGATAAGAAACAACGGGTTATTTTTTAGTTGGATGCGAAATCTTATATTCATCACCCCTAATCTGAATTTTTTTATTTTTTTTTTAGAAACTTTTATGTAGTAATAATTTAGATTTTAATCCGATTTAATATAAAACGTTCAATATTGAATCCCACTTGTGCTTAAATAAGATATATTACCGAAAAAAAATATGTTCATGCTATTAACTATGTATTATTTTATGAATATTGTGGATGTGTATGGGGGTGTAAGTAGGTATACATATAAGTGTATGTATGAGTGGGCATGTGCGTGTGACTCTGTATGTATGTATGCGTGTCCATTTATTTATTTATTTTATTTTATTTTTTTGTAAATCAAGTAAATTTAACTAATTGATTGTTAATTTTATTTTTATTGAATTTTAAATATATTGGATCTGTATATATATTTAAAATATTTATGACGCAGCAAGTTATTGTATAAATATCTGCATAGCTTTTGACGAAAATCTTAATGCTTGTGAGACCTGGGGACAGTAACCCAGGATTTATCTTAATTTTTTTTTATTTTGTTTTGCTTTTATTTTTATTGTTTAATCTTAGTTTTTTTTTCTTTTATGGTGAGGGTGGCACCATGTTAAGGTAAATGGAATTGTGAATAAGAAAATTTTGTAAGTAAAAGGAAAGAAAAAAAAAAGCATGTATTTTCTGCCAAATAAATACATATAAAATTTTTTCGAAAAATCGATTATTATCTTTTTTACCAGTCTTGGTCTTGGTCTTACAAAGTGCAACTCAAGAGGGCAACTTATTCTTTTTATTTAGGATGCTTACAACACATGACTTGCAGAGAGTCCTTAACTGCATCATAACATCTAGAGATCTATCGCCCTATCGGACTTTTCGAACGGAGCACATTTTGTTGCATGCCCTCCAGTTTATAAAATAAGATATGAACATCATTATCATAGATGTTTTTATTATAATATATCAAATCTCGCGTAAAATAAGCAATTTTTCCACTATAATTGTTGAATATATAACACTACAGTCAATATATATATATATATATATATATATATATATGTATGTATATTTCATTTCAAGAATGCACATTTGTTTTATTAAACACACTTTGTTAACTTTATTGTTATTCTTGAATTAGAATTAGATTTTTTTTTCGTTCCTTCCCTACAAGAAATTCATGTATTAATTTTATAAATGAAACAAGAACTATGATTCGTTTTTAAAGTTTATTTAAACAATTTTATATTTATTTGGTTTTTACTGCACGATTTTGAATTTTATACTGCATGTTTCAAGTTTTGCAATGGACGAAAATCAGGCCTCTAATAATAATAATAAAAAGCAGCTATCTTTGCAGTTCAGAATTTTATTTTTTAATTATAGTGGCTTAGTAGAGAAAGAATCTGGAAAAAGTTAATATGCTGGTAGGTCGGCTGGTAGGTGTCCTAGGGGTAGGCCTAAGTGAAGGTGGGAGAATCGCGTTAAGGCTGAAATGGGGGTCGAGTTTTGACAGCGGCGAGTTGATGGAAGTATTCATAGTGATTTTAGGTATCGGTATCGAACATATAACAATTGGTGATAAATTAGCGTCAGCAGCATTAATTTTATTAAAAAAAAAAAAAAAAGGTCAGAAATATTTGCAATAAATATATCTTTTTTCATATTAAAGAGAATAAGGGCCACGAGGATTATTGTAGTGTGGAGGAGGGGTGTAGTGACATTCACCCCCCACCCTTTTCAGAGCGTAAAGGTGGGTAACATTATGATAATGACTTTTTTTTATTACCACTACTGGTGCAAATTGTGAGGTTGCTAAATCAGTGCTTGATGATATAATAGACTGCTCTATGAGAGTTTCTCACAAAGAAAATCTTAACTGAAGTGGCTTTGGATTTGGGGAGGAAAGCCCGACTTGGACGTTCGTGCACGGATCCGGTACTGTAATGCCCTAGGATCACGCAATTTCGCCCAACCGCAATATCCAGATCCTTCACACGAATTGGATAATTCAAAGAAGAACAAAAGGCAAAGTGAAATATAGTTTATCTTTCGTTTATGTTTTATATCCTGTTTTAAATTATATATATATATATATATATATATATATATATATATATATATATATATATATATATATATATATATATATATAATTGATCAAGCCGTACACCAAAAATTAATGATATAGCTATCCAGGTAAATTCGATTTTAACTCAAAAAGACACAGAATTTGTCTAGTGTGGGGTTTAACGCACAATAGACATGCATCAACATTTGAACATGTACGTAGCTATAAAGATTGGTTTTTGATAGATAGGTAAGATAGATAAAGTATTTTTTATTTAACCATTTTTCAATTGAGGTACAAACCATTTTACAAACAGTCATTTTCTCGACACCCTTTAAATTTATCTATATAACATACTTCAACGAAAAGAAGCTGAAAAAAAGTTACGAGGGATGGTAAAATTAAATTCCGAATAACTCAAAAAGTATACACTTTTTTGGGGATATTGTGATAAGATGTTTCAAAGGTATTTAAATTGCCTAAAAAACAAAAAAAAAAAAAAAAAAAAAGTTAAGATCGGACAACTAGGAGAACTTCTGTTCCTAAGAACATCTGTCATAAGAAATAAGTACCTAAATTTATAGCTTAATTCTCAGTTCTATATTTCAACACTGATACCACCACCTCAGGAATCAACTTACTCATTGTCTGAATAGATAACTTTTTCAACTAGAAATATCACTAAAATGACATCACTTAAAAATATTGAAATTGGAGTTAGTCATTCTGAAGTTTATAAAAGCAAAGAAAGTTGTGTGGTTTATAAAAGCAGATGGAGTGACTACATTTGTATTGGCTGGTGTCGATATATTATATAGACATTTTGTAATTATAATGGTCTTAATGAATTGTTATCTGTAAGCTTTAAGCTTTAGCTTCGCTTAAAATGCACTTCAAAAAAAATTATAACAGCCCAGCATTGCCAGAAAATAATTTCTATTCATAGTAGATCGGTAAATGAAAGTTGTGTGCTGCGCGCACCAGATTTTTTATTTTAAGTTTCATATGATATAGATATAAAAACGTAAGGTTTCGCAAATGCAATATAAGACAACGTAATTAGTAGACGACGTAAATTTTAAGATAGTGACGACATGCGAACAAACTTTCAGCATTAGGCGTTCTCATATTCATACATATTCATTTTTAAAATATAATAGTATTCAGTGTATAAATGATAAATATATTATTATAACGTAATGGTAGCTTAGTGCATTTTAAGGAGAGTGAGTAGCCAGCTCACTGCTCCCGATTCAGGTGGGGGGCCTGCCTCCTCAGAGCACCCTGACGTGCTCCCCCATCCGGAGCGGCTCCTAGGGAAGGTGGCCCTAGGGTATGTAGTGTAGGTGACCTTTTGTCAGTTTAAGTGAATCGTGTACTGTTCTGTGTGTATTCCTGCAGTGTACTGAACTCGGTAAACCGGAGGATCGTTAATCCCCACTAGCTGTGCACTTCAGCTAGCCCCTGCGGTAAGGCAGAATAGATAAAGTAGGTTTTATTTACTGTTAGATATTACATAATGAACGATTGAGTATAGATGCACGTACAATCCAAATACGAAAATACACGAAACCGTTCATCATTTCATCCTCGACATAACAGTAAACAAAGAACTATCGATTATAATGTTTGTGATAACTATAATAAAATAAA